TAGAAAGTTTCCCACATTTCTAGTCTTGATTACATTGGCTTTGTTTGTGCAAAAACTTATTTATCATCTTATTTCTTTTTGTCCTATTTGCAGTCACATTTTTAATAAGGCACAGAGGATGTAGGGAAGAACAGCACAGAAAATAAAGAGACAAGTGGCAAAAAAGGCATAGAGGTAGATGGCCTGGGAACAGGGATAGGGTGGTGGAGGAAGGCAGGCAGTGTGAGAATGAGGAGGAGGCACAGAGAATCACTCAGGTATCTGTGGATTCAAGTTGGTAGTACTTGGAAGCATGGGTTCAATAGAGATGGAAGAATACTGTGGGACAGGAATTTGAGGTCTCTATTTATTCATTCATTCATTCATTTATTTTGGTGAAGGAAGTCTCATTTTTATAGGATTTTTTATGGGGGAAAAGACTAAGTCTTATCTGTGCCACCTTAACATATCCAAATCATCTCACAGTTGTTAATAAAACTTTAAAGTTAACATCTGTATTAACTCAAAGTTATCAGTAACATTTGGTGTTCTGCTTGTCTGACTGTGGATTTCTGGAACTTATCTGAAATTTACGTGTCATAAGACTAAAAGGCCCTGACAGCAAAGCCTAAATGGCTTCTACTCAATTAAATCCTAAATTAATCTCCTATTATTCTCCTAACTTAATATTTCCAGGATGTGATTTTTTTTTTTGTTAATATATAATATGGTTTGCAACCTGTGATCCTTTGATCGTTGGGACTTCTAGATTCCCCTTTGCAGTCTTATTTCCTGCTATTGCTACTTTATACCAGCTACTTATAAACTTACTCTACTGACTAGAAGTGGATAGGGACGTCATCAGGGGATCAGAACAGGATACAATTTTAATATATCTGGGTAAGGCTCTTAACTTCGGTTAACTTCTGTCTGCCTCAGTGTCTTCATCTGGAAGATGGGGATGATAGTGATAGTACCTACATCCTTCCAGAGATGAGTGAGGATAAAATGAGATAATTGTAAAGTGCTTTGCAAACCTTAAAGCACTATTAGTAGCTATACTACTAGTAGCTGTACTACTAGCTATTACTATTAATTAGCCTCTCAAACGATATTTCTTGATAAAACCAACTTTGTCAACTTCTTTCCCTCTCTAAGGGAAGCAGTAACTTTCACTTGCCTCCTGGTTTCATTTCTAATGAAACTGTCAAGATTCATAGAAGGCATTTCATGCCAAGAGAAGATCTTGTAGGAAGTAGAGATGTTTGACCTAAAGAGAAAGAGACTCAAGGAGAACACGAGAGCTCTCTTCAAATATTGGAAAGGCCATCAGATGCAGCCTATATTCACCTTGTTCTTTTTGGGTCAAAAAGGCAAAAGTAGGAGTAAAGAATAACCAAGTTTAGGCTTCATTTAAGGAAAAACTTACAAACAATTATTCTCCCAAAAGTGGAATGTATTGGAGTATAGTGGAAGGAATGCTTCTAGCATGTTAGGTTGAGTTTATAGGAGGACATGAAAAAGAAACCCATAGGATGGGACAGGCTCCAGATGGTGTGCTATCTGCAGTATTAAAGGAAACATCCAAATTGACAGGATCCTGAATCTATCTTGTCATTTAATTGTTTGTGTATTTCATTTTTAACAGATCTTTTTAAAAAACAGGATTTTTTATTTTCTATACCTTTCAGCCAGTGATGTGACGCAGAAAGTAGGCATATGGATTAGTTGTTAGTTGCTGATTCTCATTTACCTTTTTTCTTTGGGAAGGAGCATTATCCATCTCTGGTTTCATTCTTTTATAAATTTCTGGTATTTGAAAATTCCTGAAAGACAAACCCACTACTTTCAAAATGGTGTCTCACAGCATGATTTCTTCATTTTGATTTTGAGCTTTACCAGCCATTCTTTCCAACCTGATTTTCTTTAGTGCTAGATTTCCACTCACTGATACTGAACATCTGGTACTGAGGTAGTTCCATTGTCATCAGTAACGACAGATTGCTATGGAAACAAATCTATTCCATTTCTAGTCTATTTGGTGTCTTTATTTCAGGTTCATCTTTAATATTCTTGGGTTGATCAGATTTAATTGGGTCATATACCAAGTCTTTTGAATGCTTGGCTTATCCTTTACTGTTTTTCATTTTTATAAGGTAATGTTGGTAAAGTGACATTGTTCGTACTTTCTTTCATAGTCCTGGCAAGGAGATCCAGTGTTTTCTAGCTAAGTTGTTTCCTATGTTATATCTAAACCTCAGCATTAAGGAAACTCAGCAAATCAAAGCACATTTTTATTAAGCGTCTGCTCTGTTCCAGGCCTTGTGCTAAGCACTAGGGATGCAAAGTAAGACTCGTTCCCCACTTGGAGGAGTAGTCTGCAACACACAAACAACTATATAAATGAAAGAAGTTCACTGGGTAAGAGGGAGGTAATTTTGTAGTTAAGGCATTAGTAGTGGGGTAGAGGAAATGAAGGTAGCTAAGAAAGGTGTCTTGCTGAAGGTAGGATTTAAGCTGAATTTGAAGGAAACCTAGAAGGGGGAGGAGCATTACAGGCGTGGAGGACAGATGATGTAAAAAGTGTGGAGTCTGGAGATTGTATGCTGTGTTTGAGGAAAAGCAAGGCAGCCAGTGGAATTGGGTGTTGGAATACATGGAGGGACAAAGTGTAAGAAGACTGGAAAGGTGAAAGGGTTTTAAAAGCCGAGTAGATATATTTATATCCTAGGGGTTATAAGGAGCCACTGGGTTTACTGAGTAAGGGTAAGGAATGATGTGGTTGGATTAGCACTTGAGGAAGATCACTTTAGCACCTGAGTGGAGGAATCATCTAGGAGGCTGTTGTAGCAGTTCAGGCATGAGGTGATAAGGATCTTCATTTGCGTGGATGCTAAAAGAGCAGAGAGAGAAACCCTGGAGAAGGGGATTATACAGGAGGTGTTAAGAGGATAGTTGATAGGACTTGGCAACAGATTGGATTTAAGAGGCGACTGACACTGAATTTTGGGGTACTTTTTTCTTAATGCCGCCTTTGTCTCTCAAACAATGACTTTCATTTTCTTTGATACAGGTATATTATAAATGAGTCTTGATTGCAATTATCTTTTGGCCCATGGATGGGGTTGGTGTGGTGGTGGTGGGATTCTCTTGGTTTAATGGTAAGAAATGGAGAGCATGTGATTGGGAGAGAGTTAAAATTTGGGAGCTGGTTTGAGGTGCAATTAGTTGAACAAGGATCATTGAAAGATAGGCACAGTACATGCATGTATGCCATTCCTTCCTTGGGGAAGGAAAAGTTGCTGAGATAATTTCCTGTGTTAGCCACTAGGTGGCAGGTCAGCCTAAGCCATCTTTTTTCTGTCCAGGCAGAGTGGTAGTAGAAAAAAACAAAATGGATAAGAAATGGAAAAACATTGTGGCCATCTATGGGACACTGACAGTTTGAGCATTAGTGGGAGTGCTTGTATTGACATGAGATGGAAAAATGTTAGTGATCTTATACATTTCGAAAAAGTCCTTCCATTTTTCTATAATAATTTTGGAAATCTGTGATTCTGTGAAATATATTTACCAAAAGTATTTGGTTGGGTAAATTTGTTAGGTTGAAACAGTAGAAAATTTCATAAATCTTCTTGTAGGCATTACTGTACGAGTAGTCTTGTTTAGTGCATTTGTCAGTTAGGGGCAAATGGCTTTTATGTCTTGTCAAGATAGGAATCTGTTTATTTCCCAGTCAGTGTTTAACCCAGTATTTTGCATATGTCATATATATATGAGTAAATATTCCTTTGGTGATTGATATTACCTATAGTTTCTCACTCTTGCCAGTTGAGGAAGAGTTTTGTTCCTCATATCCATAGAAATCATTCTTCTCTTCCCCCCACCTCCAGTGGAAAACAGGGAGCAAGGAGAGTAGGCTAAATATCACTGGGCACATTAAGGCATTTTAAAAATGAAACTTTTAAGGAGCCATTTTATAGTTTCTTAAATAAGTTAAATTTTAACTGTATAGTGGCCTACAGATTAGAAATAAAGGTGGATTATCAGAAGGCATCACCTTTTTCTGAGTTATAAGATATGTTACAGTCTTAAATATGTAGAAGAGTATATATATATAGTTTTACATATAAACAAATATTAGTATTTGTGGTATTGTGCTGGGGGATAATGATTTTGAAGGGTCAGAAAATAACCTATCTCTTTTCTGTGGGGGGAAAAAGTATTTCAATACTACCAGTAATGATTTTGGTAATGTATATATTTTAAATAGTCCTGCATTTCCAACGGACGTGACAGAGCTGGAGAAGGCGATCGTCATTTTTGTCAATCATTGGACCTTACTCTGTATAGTTCCTCTTTGTTTTGCAAGGAAGCAAAATTATTAAAGTGGGAGCAATAACTCTTATACTGGGACCCAGAACAGATGAGTCATGCATCAGGAGTCATATCTTAAGTTGAAGTTATACAAAAATTTTAATGGGAGTCTTTACAGAGAGTATTCTAATGTATATGAGTTGATGCTAAAGGCAAGGTATTAGATTTTTCTTTCTTTCTCCAAATTAAGTAGAAACTATATCTTTGTCAAATATGTACTGTTCGGGGCATTGTGGCATAGTAGTTATACAAAGAACACTAGCCTATGAATTGGGACATGTGAAATCTGCTCATGAGTATTCCACTAATTTATGTGATTAGGACTAAGTCCATTTCTCTCATTAAATGGGTATTATTATATTTCATAGGAATGCTTTAAAAATGAATTAAGTTACATTGAAATGGAATGCTTATATTTTGTGAAAGAAATTTGCTTTAAAATTTGAAGTGTATATGTGTACATGTTGTGCGTTGTTTATGTAAACTCCTTGTAATATTCTTCATAATTGAAAAAATTCTGATTGAATGTTTTGAAATATTGCAAATGTGATTTTAACAAAATCACATAAGCAAGCCTGATGAGTTATGTTATGTAGGATCACAGAATATTAATTTTGAATGTAATTTATTATTTTTCATTTCAGGGTCAGATAACATTAATGGATGTCCCAGTATTTAAGGCTATTCAACCAGATGTAAGTAATAGTTTGATTTTATTTCTCAGATTTAAAACAGCTAAATATATTGCATTAATTTAAGTGTTTGTAGAGATGTGAAGTAAAATTACTTTTTATGAATTTGGGACTATAAAAACGTCATGTGTTCTTGATGTGATGAAAGCTTACAAAATAGTGCTGACAGTTATATTGGTTACAGAATCAGAATTTCAGAACTGGAAAGGACCCTCAGGGATGACCTAATCTCCCTCATTTCACAAATGAAGAAATTAAGGATTTGAGAGATTAATACGTCCTATAATAAATGTATTTTAGTTTTGTTTAATGTATCATATTTTTACTATTGCTGAAGATAGTGATATTAAGAATGTGCACTTAGATTTTCATCTCCATGAATGTGGGATTTAGCAAATACAATTAAAGACCTACAAAAGTTATGAGGGGCAGGTAGGTGGTGCAATGGAAAAGAATACTGGTCCTGGAATTAGGAAGACCTGAGTTCAAATTCGGCCTTAGACACATAACACTCACTAGCTGTGTGACTTGGGCAAGTCACTTAACCCCAATTGCCTCACCAAAAAAAAAAAAGTTATGTAATTTACTTGGGGTTACATGGTCTGAAGTAAGACTCACACCCTTCTAGCTACAAAGCCAACTCTGTATCTACTAAGCCACATCGCCTCTCAGAAGGGCCATAGTAATGCATATAAACACCTTATTGAAACAGAAAATAAGAAAGATGAGAAAGTATACATCTATTATATTGGAAAATTCTTTAAATGAAGGAATATTTGGATATATTTAAAGTCTCTGGTGTAGGTTTGTTAGTTTAGACTCACCGCACAGTACAGAGGGGAAAAAAAAGATTTGGTTAAAGAAAGCCTAAGATCTAAAGATTATACAGTATGAAGTCTAGCTAAGGACAACAGAAATGGTGAATTTTTTTTAAAGCTATATTAGGAAAAAGAAGATCAAATATACATAGGACCAGTGCTTGATCCAGACAGGGTGACACCTGATGATAATGGGGAGAGGGAGTTGCTACTCAACTTTATTTTGATTCTGTTTTCTTTTCCAAGGAGAATGATCTTTGATCTGGAAGGGACAAAACAAAGTTGGCTAATAGTGAATTAATACCCAAGATACTTAGGGAGATAGTAAGTGAGCACTGAACTGCTCTTGATGAGTTCGAATAGGCCCAAGTAAACTGTGGCCTCAGTCACTGCTAGAACTGGCAAGTGTGATGGCTGAGCTACTGTCAGTGATTTCTGGAGGATCACGGTGAATGAGAGAGGTGCTGTAGAATTGGAGAAGAGCGAATATTGTCTCAGTTGTCAAAAAGAGGAAGAGAAAAGAGTCTACAAACTACCTGCCACTTCTCCTACAATTCCTTGTGAAATCCTTGTATGTATTATTAAATGGATGTTTAACAAGAAGTGGAATTCACTGCCTCATCAAGAATAGGTAGGTGGCACAGTGGATAGAGCAGCAGCCCTGGAATCAGGAGGACCTTAGTTCAAATCCGGTCTCACTTGACACTTAATTAGTTGTGTGATCCTGGGCAAGTCACTTAACCCCAATTGCCTTGCCCAAAAAAAAAAAGGTCATTCCAGACTACATACCACACCCCAAATCCCCTTTCATTTTCTAATGTGGCGGTCTTAGGAGACTAGAAGAATAAGGAACTAGTTTGGATACAGTTTTAGCAGTTATTTGACAGAGGCCATCATACTCATCTCGTGCAAAAGATAGCAAGACGTGGACCGGGTGATGGGGTATTTAGATGAATCCATAACTAATTGAATGGCTAGACCCAAAGAATAGGCATTAATGGTTCATTGTCCGCTTGGAAAAAGGTGTGTTTGTGCCTCAAGTCTCTCCCCTTTTCTGATCTATCTTCCATAAAGCTTCCAGTTTGGATATTCATGGAGCGCAGTTCTTACTGTGTCACTTCCACATGCTTCTAGGAGGGAATACAAATTGAATACAATACTGAGCTCATTTCCTTATCTGGGGGTAATAATAGTACCTGCCTCATAGATGTGAGAATTCTTTATATGAAACATTCTATGAACTTTAAAGTACGATATAAATGTAAGCTATTTTCTGGAGAGTTCTAACCACTAGCAAGAGCTGTGGTTTTAAATTTAATAGTCTTGTTTTTAAGTATATTGACTTTATTCAATAACTTCTTTTAACTGAGGACTAGATGTACCATTTGTTGAATATTTTAATTTGCATTTTATTTAAAACTTTGGTAATACTTTTCATTCTACATATTAAGATGAATAATTGATATAACTTTCCAGAAGTAAATGTTGATAGTATGTTCACTCAGACATGATTTTTATGTGATGTTGGTTCAGTGGTACTTTAGAAAAAAAGTTAGGATCTTCCGTTCTACAATGGAGGGGAAAAATCAATTCAATCAGCAGTCATTTATTAACTGCTTCCTCTGTACCACGTGCTGTGCTACTCACTAGAAACACAAAGACAAGAGCAAAACTCTCCTGTCCCTCAAGTTGCTTAACATTGTAATGAGTAGATTATATAAAGATATAGGTATATAGAAAACATATCCAAAGCAGGCAGAATATGATCTTGGAGAGCCCGGCACTAGTAACTGGGGGACACAATAAGAGCCTCATGCAGAAGGTGGTATTTAAGCTGTGTCCTGAAGGAGATCAAGGAGAAAAGGGAAGACTGGAAGCAAGAGATCATTTAGGGTATTGCAGTAGTCTAGATCAGGCTTTCCAGTGGGCTACGAAAAATGTAGGAGAATCCTTTGGCGTGCCACGAGCAGCCCACGGCAGGTTGTGTGGGCGTGGCCTAGACTAGGCAGGCTCCCAAGTTTTTTTATTATGTGCCCTGATCAACAATAACAGTAAGATTTATATGCACTTTTGATACATGTAGATTTATTTACATATAGGTTATATATTTTCACTACTCATACTAATAATTATGCACATTATAAAACTATACAAAATTAGAAATTCACAAGGGATGAGATAAAAGTGAAATGATATTTAACACAAGTCATTTGCAAACCAGTGGAGTCAGTGGAATAGAAGATGACCTTGTCAGACCTGTGCTCTAGGAAAGTACTTTGACAACTGTGTGCAGGTTGAATTACAGAAGCAAATAGGAGGTAGAGAGACCAATTTTGAGGCAGTAATTCAGGGAGGGGGGCATATGAACAGAGACAAGCAATGTGAAAGATATTCTGGAGGTAAAAATGACAATATGTCACTTAGTAAAACATTACTGAAGAGCTTACTATGTGCCTCTGGGTGTAAAAAAAGACAAAAACGGTTCTTGCCCTGAAAGAGTTCATGTTTCTAATGGAAGAGATGATATGGAAATAAGGAAACCAGAAAAACTAAGAAGCAAAAGTGAAGTGGGGAGAAAATTCCAGGCATGGGAGATAGAAAGTAAGGAATAATAAATAGGTCAGTGGATAATGAAATAGAGTGGAGAGAGACTTCAGGCAAGGAGATCGCTTATAAATCTATTGCAGCAGTCCAGGTGAGTGATGATTAAAGCCAGAGCTAGGGTAGTTAGAATTTGAGCAGAGAGAAGAGGTTGGATGTAAGAGATATTAATGAAGATGTACAGTGAGTATAATTTAGGAGTTAAGGATAAGTAGAGGTTGTGAGCCTGAGTGACTAGGAGAATAAAGAAGGTAGAGTTTTGGGAAAAAGATAATGAGGTTTCTTTTGGACATTGTGATTTTGAGGTGACAATGGGATATCCAATTGGAGATGTTCAAAGGGAAGTTAGTAGTATGCAACTATAGCTCATGAGAGATACTGGCTCTGGATATGTACATCTGGGAATCATCTACATAGAGATGATAATTGAACACATGTGAGCAAATGAAATTAGTATAGAGGGAGAAGATAAGAAGGCCTAAGACAGAACCTTTAGGGGACACCCATAATTAGTGGATGTGGCATGGCCAATGATCTATAAAAGAGACAAAGTGGTCAGGTCAGTAGGAGGAGAACAAGCAGACAGTTCTGTCATAAAAATCTAGAGAGGGAGAGAGTGTCCGGGAGAAGATCATCAACATTGTCAAGAAGGATGAGGATTGAGAAAATACTATTAAATTTGGCAATACAAAGATTGTTGGTTTTGGAGAGGTCAGTTTAAATTGAAAGATGAGATCAGAAGCCAGATTTCAGACAATGGAGATCAAGAGTTGGAAGATGAAACCAAAGTTGCAAATCTGGGGGTCTGAAAGGATGGGGGTAAGTCATCAGTAATAGGCAAGTTTGAAAGACAAGTGAGTTCGGGAGGAATGTTTTGATGTTAATTGTAACCCGTCCATGCTTGATCAACCTGTGTGACTGTCCCACCAAAAATGAAGTGGAATGGGCAAGGTGACCCTTATTGATCAATGACTGCTCACGAGCACTGCGCCAGCCAAAGGAGGTCCTGCTATAGCTGCAACATGATCTGAGGGGCTAGGGAGAGGGGAGATTTTCCTTAGGGCACCTATATAAGTGGGGGGCCCGTGATAGGACTGGGGGTGGTGTGATTTTTTTCGAGATAAGTCACAACATAGGTGTTGCAGGAAGGGCGGAACTACAACCCATCTTTCTATCCTCAGATCATTTGGTCACATACCTTTCGGGATCATGCCACAGTCCCTCACTTTGGAGACCAGTGGTCCCCAAGCAAAGTGTCTGTCTCTTCTTTGATTCTCCTTTTACTCCTAGATTAAAAGATGAAATAAAACAAGCCACCAAAAAAAAAAAATCTTTCTTCCTTGGCATCCCTCACTAGCCTCAACTCATTCTGATTTTTAGCACTCCTGAAAGTTTTTTGAAATATGACTGTGCCACACTATTTTATTTATATTCTGTTACTTGGTCTTGTTCTCATTTTCTATATATTTCTTTTTAAAATCTATGTTGATTATATTCAGACTCATCACATTTTGGACATGACACACTTTTTCTCCCCAGTCGAATTTTTTCCCTTTGTATCTCAAAATTTCATTCTTGAGCAACTTGAGTAACTCAGCTCCTCTTGGGTTGACTTCTTTAAAAATTTTAGTCCATGATATCCTACCTATTTTTCCTCTAAACCCTTTGAAGTCTGCTTTCCAAGAATCTAAGTTTCCTGTCATTATTCCAAGTTTCCTCTTCTTTTGTATCACAAACTCTAGAAAGGAATGAAGTGTCCCTTTCCCCTTCCCCATTTAGTGCACCCCTCCACCCCAACATTCTCATTATTTCTACCTCTGTTCCTGCCTGTTACAGAGAATTATCCAGAGTAAAATGTTCTTTTGTTGGTTCTTTCATCTTTTCTAAATTTATTTCTAAGACAAGTCATTTAGTCAACTGCTTATTGAGTGCTTACTATGTATGTGCCAAGTACTTTGTTAAGTTCTGGCAGTACAAAGGAAAGCTAAAGCATGGTAGTTACCCTCAAAAAACTCACATTATAGAAGGGGAGACAAGACTGTTATACGTAAGATATTTATGATATAATTGGAAGGTCATTTCAGAGAGAAGACACTAGTAGGAAGGTATAAAGAGGTGGGAACTTGGAAAGGTCTCCTGCAGAAGAGGGGATTTGCACTAAATCTTGAATGAAGCCAAAAAGTTGTGGTGAGGAAGGGGGATATTCCAGACATTTCGTTCTAGCCAGTGCAAAGGCACAGAATTATACGTTATATTGTGAGGAGCAACATGTAGAACTATAGTGTAAAGAGATGAAGAAAGTATAAATATACCAAAAAGGGACTGGGCATGGGGAGGCTGAGGCTGGTGGATCAATTGAGTTTAGGAGTTCTGAACTGCAGTAAGAATAAAGCTGATTCAGTACCAATATGGTGAGCTCTTAGAAGTGGAGGGCCGTGAGGCTGCCTAAGAAGGGACAAACTGGCCATTGTCCAAAATGGAATAGGATAAAGCTCCCATGCCTGTTAATATCGGGATTGAGGCTGTGATTGGTACTTCCAGCTCGACCAAGATAGGGAAACCCTGGCTTCCTCCATGTATTTGTCCTCTTTTTGATACATGCCCAGTGAAAGCAACTTGCTTCTCTGTTGTTACTAGATCGAGAAGTAGCTGTCTCAGTACAAGGCCAGGGAATCGCCAGATCTCTTTCTGTGCCTATTACTGAGTGATAGCTTCTGTGGCTCTTTAGTGTTATTCTTTATAGAACCAAGTACCTTCTTCTTCCTTAGAACATTTCTCCCTCTTCAGGAAGAACCTTATTGTTTTTAAACAAGGGGGTACCTTGTTTTCTTTTAGAAAGCTTCGTTCTGTCTAACCACTTGGAGGGATACCATGAGTATCTTCACTTTGTCCAGGAGGCTGATCGGCCTGTATTTGGAATATGGCAGTTCTTTTGCTATTGCAAAAATAAAATCATCACACACTTGATGCTAGAAGCCACATTTATAGATAGATAGATAGATAGATATAGATAACCTTTAAAATTCCTGAGTGGAGGGGTAAGTTGCTGGAAGGCCCATGTGTGAAAAAAAGAAAAATGTAAAAAAAAAAAAATGGGCCTTGTTTATGGAAATAAGCCTTGAAATAGTTTATTTTGTTACATCATTGCAGTCACTTGTTGACAGGTTTTATTCCTTAAACAAAACTTTAGGAATGTTCTCTAAAATTTCTGTATTCTTTTTATTCAGGATTTCATCTAAATGTTACGTAAGTTCTCTAAGCCTAAGTATATCCTACAATGATAAATAATTTAATTTAGAAAATGTACACATGGTACATTACTTTGAATTTTTATTATTTTCCATTCAGGTGTTAATGATTAATCTGAAATGCATAAGTGATGTACTAGCTATTTAATAATGTGCTGCTGGCCCACATTTATGTGCGTATGTATGTGTATGCATGACTATGTAAAAATTAATATAGTGCCTCAGTTTGCTAATCTTTACAATAAAAATGGTTAGACTGGTTTCTGAGGTCCCTTCCAGTTCTAAATCAATAACACCATAAACTGACAATTTAAAATATGGATTTATATTTTAGAAACTAAAATGGTAGTTTAGAAGTAGGAAGTATAAAAAGACAAAAAAAGAGGAAATAAATATGACATAGTATCTAGTAAAATTAGAAAATTATATATCCCTATGTATTTGCTGAATTCAATGATGATGATACAGTATTAAATAAATGCATTATTTTAACTATTCATTTTAAATTGTGATTGAGGGAGGACTAAAAAAACTTTTATTTATATATGTGTATATATGCATATATGTATATTTATATGTTGCAACCCTTTGACTCTTATTATTGTAGCAAGGAAATTTACCTATTTAATTCATATTACATCTAATTATCATTAATTTTTCAGGAGCTTTCAAGTTGTGGATGGAATAAAAAAGAGAAGTACAGTTCTGCGCCAAATGCAGTTGCCTTCACAAGAAGATTTAATCATGTAAGTCTTCCCTAAAATGATGGTACTCTTTTCAAAAGGTAATTCTTTAAGTGAAAGTTTTCATTTAAAAAGTGTTTGTTGAACTTTTCCCTAAAGTAAACATCGTTAAAGTGGCATCTTTTTTTTTGGCAGAATGTGCTATTCCAGCATCATCTCATTCAAAGGGATTTTTTTAGAAAAATTGTAAGTGATGATGTTACAGAGCCTAAAATTTTATAGAAGACAAAAATGTCTTGGTTCTGTTTTCTCCTTTCATTATAATTCTGGATACATAAAGCTCAAATATTATATGAGTTCCAAGAATATTAAAATCTCATTCACTTTAATAGGTAAACATTAGAATTGGATAGGACATTAGTCACACAACTAGTTAATTCAAGGACTGGAACTAGAACCTGTGTCTACTGCTTTTAATTTAATCTCCCATTTATATCTTTTCTCCTCCTAGCTAGATACTGAAGCCCTCCCAAAAAAATCTCCCTCCTATGGGAAGGAATCAGGAACCCCAATCTACTCAGACTCTCAGGCCCACTGGTCCTAGTGGTGCTGGGCCAGGCCTCCCTCCCTGGGGAATGGACATGATTCTTCATACTGCAGAGATGAGTAGGCAATCACCAATTTCCAGTAAAATGGAGGACTACTAGGTCTTACTATCAATCAGCCTTGTTACTGTACCCTGCCGATATCAAACTACTACTTTTGGCCTTCCATGGCAACCTAAAGAGCCCTGGGCCTTGATTCCATCTTGCTGCTGAACGCTTAGATCTTTTTAGGCCTTGCCATCTGCCCTTCTGCCAAATTCTCTATGTGTTGTGTCACCCCAGTTAGAGTGTGAGTCTCCTGAGAACAGGGACTGTCTCACCTTTTGGTTTGTATCTACATTGCTTGACATATAGTAAGTACTTAATAGAATTAAATTATAATCAATAAATTTCCAAGTGTCTACAGTATGCGTGGTATATACATACATACATACATACATATATACATACATACACCTTGCTGTAATACTGTTAGGATTGTGACACAAGTTCATACTTTAGGTAACACAGTGTATAACAAGATCTCTTGGACCTCCTTGGCTGGGGATTCAAGGCAGAAGTGTCTTATGCAGAATTTCATAATATATCAGGTGTTAATTTGATGGTGCTAGTATCTTGTCAAATTTTGTTTTGAATGAAAATTGGAATTTACTATAATATCAGAAAACTAGGGCTTCTCCCACCCACGCCCCCCACCCCCAGTCATATAGTAATGTTATATTAGAGTGGCCAGAGACATAGAAGGTAGCTAGATGGTGCAATAAAGAGACCCCTGGGTCTGAAGTTAAGAAGGCCTGAGTTCAGAACCAGCCTTAGACATTTACTAGTTGTACAACCCTGGGTAACTCTCTTAACCTCTCTTTGCCTCAATTTCCTAAACTATAAAATGAGATAATAATAGCATTTATTTCCAAGGGTTGTTGTGAAGATTAAATGAGATAATATTTGTAAAGAGCTTAGCACAGTGTCTGGCACATAATAGGTACCATAAAAATATTTGTTCCCTTTCTGAATGAGTTTTTAAATGTAACTTCTCATCTGAAGATTCATCTGGAATATAGATGATTAACTGAAAATAGACAAAAAAGAACAATTTTTATAGCCAAAGTAAATGCTACAAATTACGTTCTGTAAGGGTCTTGCACTTTGCTTATAGGAGAGGCCCCAAGCCCTCATTCTTAACTTTTACTAGACAGTGCTTAGAAATTTTGCTGTGTGGCTTCCTAATGCACAGGATATTATAAACTCCAGATAGAAATATAAGAGTAAGTGGCTTCTCAAAGCATCCTGACTATAAAGAATAAGAAATGAGAGCATGCAGCTTTGATAACTCAGGAAGACACAAAAGCACAGTAAAACCCACAGTACCAAAAATATGGCAGTTTGCACTCCTTTAAGAATGTGTATAGCTAGTCCTATAATTCTCAGTAACCCCTAAAGACATCATAGTATAGCAGTGTGCTTCTTAGCCACTGAGCCATGGAAAAGAAAAAGCTGATAGAAGAGACTTTCAATTAAGCCCCTGTAGTTGAGCATCTTTGCCTAGGTCCTGGGTACTATCAGGAAGTACTTAATCCACCTTGGGTTGGGTGGTTACACTGTTGACTCCCTTTATACTAAGTGGAATTGTTTTCAAGTCTGCTGTATCAGCTTTTGTTATCTAAACTTTCTCTGTGGAGCTTTTCAAACAATAATGATGTGTTTCATTATAAAATAGAAGTCCCTTTCACACTTTACAGTGACCGTAAAAATTGTGGAAGAACAAGTGAAATGTTTTGTTAAATCAGTTTCATATTCTTTGGTTTTAATATTTGTCTCCTGACAATTTATTTTCATTTTAAAACCTTATTAGAGTAACATAGTCCTCATAACTCTAATTCTTATACATCTCACTTGTTATTAAGCTGGAGTACTCATAACCATGGGCGTTTGGTAGTACAGTGGATAGAGCCTGGAGTCACCCTGAGTTCATATCCATCTCAGACACTTACTTAGTAGTGGTGTGACCCTGGACAAGTCACTTAACCCTGTTTGCCTCAGTTCCTCATTTTTAAAATAAGCAGGAGAAAGAAATGGTAAATGACTCCAGTATCTTTGCCAAGAAAACCCCAAATTGGGTCACAAAGAGTCAGACACAACTAAAAACAACTAAACAACCATCATGACCATGATGCAGTGGAGAGAAAGCTGTACTGGCAGTCAGAAAACTGGGGCTGAAACCTTGACGCTGTCACTTGGGCAAGTCATTTCACTTCCCCTCTCTGGGCCTCAACTTTCCTGATCTGTAAAGTGAGGAAGTTAGATTAGATTACCTCTGTAGTCCCTTTCAGTTTTACTCTTTTGACTAAAACTTAGAAGAGGAAACTTACAGTTAATATCCAAGAAATGAACTTATTTTGTTGCCTTGGGCAAATCATCTAAGTTTCCTTTAACATACTTATCCTTCATTCAAAGAGTAAATATTAATGTTTGAAAATATTTGGAAAATTGTAGTACTGTTCAACTTTAGTAAATAATTTTGAGTTATATAATGCAGTATAGATAAGAGACGGTATAGTCAGCCAGTCAGCAAGCATTTATTAAGTGTTTACTCTGTGCCAGCTACTGTACTAAGTAATGGGCATTCAAATACAAGCAGAAAGAAGTTCCCTCCCCTTAAGGAGCTTATATTCAAATAGGGGAAAACACATAAAAGGGAGTTATAACACATAAAAGGGAAGGGGGGAGCATGTTGGCAAAGTCAGAAAAGTGGGAAACAGAAACAGCATAGTAATGAAGGATGGTGGCCTGGTCACTCAAAATGAAGGCCCTAGAGCAATTCATACTGGGATAAGAAGGGTAGAGAAGTTCCAGGATGAAATGGCCACACAGACTCTGAGGGAAGTCCCAAGTGAGAAGACAGCTGAGGCCTGATAGCAAAGGCCAGAGAGAGGCAGAGCCAGGAGAAAAAAGGATGGCTGTCCTGAGGCCTCCTCTCAGAGTGGAAGTTCTGGGAGGAACTCACCAGTGGGAGAGGGGGCCATGGATAGAGGTCCCAAGACCATAGTTCCCATATAGGATCTTGATTTAAATATAAGAAAAATCAGAGAGCAAGGTAAGTAATTTACATATGTAAAAGATAGTCATAACCATCTTCCAGGGTTCTTGAGATTAAGAAAAAGGACACCTCGGAGGAGGTTGTAGTAGTCCAGATGAAAGATGTCTAGATGAATACATATGCAAAAGTTTTAATTTAAGGTAATAAAAGGTGTCTTGTAGTAGTAAAGAAATGGAACAAGTAACAAAGTTTAGTGGGAGCCTGAAAAATGTAGGATAAATGTAGGGGAAAATATGTAAATTTTCAAACTGACTTCTGTTTGAAATACAGAGAAGAGCAAGGTTTTCAACAATGACCAAAGGATGTAGAGATAATAACAATTAAAGCTTTTAATCAACACCTCTATCACATTTGCAGATGACAAAAAGATGAGAGGGATAGATAACAAATTGGATAACAGAGTAAACATCAAAAAAAATCTCAGCAGGCTAACACATTAGGTGAAATTTTTAAAAATTTAATGATGTTTAAAGTAAAATCACATATCTAGACTCAAAAAAAAAATCTGCTTCAAAAGTACAAGAGAAATGTAGCTAGGCAGCAGTTCATCTGAAGTGTTGCAAGCTTAGTATGATTAAAGAGTATGACAGGGTAACCAGAAAAAATCTAATAAGAAGTCAGGCTACATTATGAAAGGTGTAGTATCTAGAACAATGAAGGTGATAGTGCCAATCTGCTGTACCATGATCATATTATACCTGGATTCTTGTTTTCATTTCTGAGCACTGAAGTTTGGGAAGAACATTGATAATCTCTGGACCATCCAGAAGAAAGTAGTCAGTTTGTAGCAAGGCCTCGTGACCATGCCATTTAAAGATTGGTGGAAAGAGCTGGGGATGTTTAGCCTAAAGAAGGGAAAACTTAGGAGGGGTATGTGGAAGTGGGATTAGGTTTCTTCTTGGTACCACAGGAACTTGACTTTTGTTTTGCTTGACCCTAGAAGGCAAAACTAGGAACTCTGCTAAGAGGCAAATTTAAATTCAATATAAGGAAAACCCTTCTAGGAGAACAATGCGAAATCACAATGGGATGCCTTGGAATTGATGGGGTTCCTCCTTATTGGAAGTCTTTGACAACAGGCTCGATGACTACTAGTTGATGAAGTAGAAGAAGGGATTCTTAGTCAGTTATGGGTTGAAACTTAACGGTTTCTAAAGTCTCGTCAAACTTTGAGATTCTCTAATTCTTTAGTATATCACATTTTAATTATGATTTGCAATTGACAGCTTTTTTATACATTATCTTATTTTGCTGGAGGTAAAGTAGCATAGTGGATAAAGCATTGTACCTGAAGTCAGGACAATCTGAGTTCAAATTCAGCCTCAGACACTTAATAGATGGGAGACTCTGAGCAGATCCCTTAATTGCTGTCTATCTGTTTCCTCATCTGTAAAATCAGGATAATAAGAGGACCTTCCTCCTAGGGTTGTTGTGAGAATAAAATGAGGTAATATTTATAAGGCACTTTGCAAACCTTGAAGTGATATATAAATGCTAGCTGCTGTTATTACTATTACTACTACTACTATTATTGCTTCTAACAATGAAGACCATGCAGTACATTGGAAAGAGCACTGGCTGTGGAATCACAGGACCCCGATTCAATCTCAACTTAAAGACTCTCTTCATAACCTTGGGAAAATCACTTAACCCCTTGGGCCTCAGTTTCTTCATTTGTAAAATGAGTGGGCTGAACTGAATGGCCTCTGAGATCCCTTCTGTCTCTAAATGTATATTCCAAGGCTGGTAAATGTATGACTCTGAAGTAGGTAAAGCAGAAAGAATTCAAACACAGACCTTCAGACCTCAAACAAGTACAGGGCTTTTTATATTACATCATACCATTATTTAGGAAGTAGATTAGTCTTCGCAATTAAGTTTACACGAGTTGAACAAAAAGCCTTTCCCTTCAGTTATCCTTGTTTTTGTTTTAGGTAAGCTTTTGGGTAGTTCGAGAGATCCTTCACGCACAGACATTAAAAATCAGAGCAGAAGTTTTGAGTCATTATATTAAAACTGCAAAGGTAAGAAATCTTTTTCTTTGCTTTCCTTATATTTGAGTTGAATCTTAGAAATGTTTCTAAATAAACATTTCTGATTACAGCTCTTTTTGTTTACTGATGAGGCCTTTGATTGTTGTTCATGGTGCATTTATAAGGCCGCTGGACTTGGAGACCTTAAGCCAGTTGATTTACTTCTCTGGGCATCAGTTTCCTAATCTGAAAAGTGAGGAGGTTGGACCACATAATTTCTAAGGTCTCTTCTAGCTCTAATATTTTAGGGTGATTTCTAATGCAAATTCATTTTAATATATGTTTCTTAAACCAGATTCTTTGACTTGTTTTTCTAATCCATCTTATATTTTACAGTTATGTTTATTCATATATATATATTTTCTAATCATTTGATGTGTATTTTAACAGAAAAAAACTTAATAATCAACTTTTGGGCTCTGCTCATTTGGCGATGTTTTCTTTCCCCTGAAATGTAGTATCTTTGTGTCTTGAGGCCTAAAATGGGAGTGTACTAGTCCACTATTGCAAGCTTATCTGTTTAGGAACAGATCTCTAGCCCATTGTCTGCTGTGTAGCCTCCTGTCTACTTTCCGGGCTCTTCTCTCTCCTTTCCCATCTACTTAAAAATAGATTTATTGTACTGTGTGTAGCTCTGCTATGAATATTTTAGTATATGTAGGACCTTTCTTTCTTCCTTTGAACTCCTTGGGATATATGCCTGTCAATTGGCTATTTCGGTCAAAGAGTAGGGACCTTTTAGTCACTTTATTAACATAATAAATATTGCTTTCTACAATAGCTGGACTAATTCACAATTCAACCAACAACCAGCCCTTCCAGCATTTCCTATCTTTTGTCATCTTTGCCAGTTTGTTAGGTGTGAGATGAAACCACAAAGCAGTTTTGATTTGCATTTTTCTTATTATTAACTATTTGGAACACTGTTTTATATGATTTTTGATCAATGGAAATTCTTCTTTTGAGAATTGTTTGTCTATACCCTTTATCTAATTTTGCCCTGGCTACTAAATCTTGGTCTTAAATATTTATGCTAACTCCTTAGATAACTTGTATATCAGACCTCTATCAGAGATATTTGATGCAAAGATTTTTTGCCCCCAACTGAAAACTTCTTGTATTTTCACTGATTTTGTTGGTGTGATAACTTTTTATATAAACAAAATAATCTTTTGTGTGTGTGTGTTTGTCTCTATTTCTTGTTTAGTTAACAAACCCCCTTGCCTTAACTGTGGGAAGTACTTGATTTGACTTTCTTTCATTTTAAAAAATGATCTGGCCTCTATAATATTCAGGTTATGTCTCCATTTTGAGCTTTTTCTGCTATGTATAGTATAAATGCTGGTCTAAACCTAATTTCTGCCAAATTATTTTCTAGCTTTCCTAGATGTTCTTGTTAAATAAGTAGTTATTTCCATAGTAAGCTGTATTTTTATAATTGTCGAGACCAATGGGTTATTGAATTTGATATCTAACCTGTTTCACCAATCTGCTTTTTAATTTTTAAGTTGGTACCAGATATTTTTGATGATTACTACTATATAGTATAATTTGAAGTCTGGAAGTGCTATTTCCCCTTCATGCCTACTTTTTTTTCATCATTTCCCTTGAGATTCTAGACATCTTATTCCTGCAAATTATTTTTTTCCCCCTAACATTATGGAGTCCTCTTTTGGTGGTTTGATTTGCATAGTACTACAGAATTCATGTAGTTTTGTATTTTTTTAAATCCTAATTTTGTTAGTGGGCATTTAATTGTTTTAATTCAAAGACATGGCCATGTGTTTCCCCTTTCACCATGAAAGACTAAAATATTTTGTTTTGGTAGCATAAAAGTACACTTTTGAAAGAACTGTGTACTAATATTGTTCCTGAGTGCACAGATCTTTTCCAAGTTAAGTAAAAGTAATAGTTTTACTTCAAATAAAGCTAAATGAGAAAGCTCACTGGATTTAGAGTCAGAGAACCTAGATTCAAATACATAAAGAGTTATTTTCTGTGTAACTTCCTGCAAATGAGTTAACCTCTCTGGGCCTCAGTTTCCTCATCTCTAAAATAAAAGGGTTGGACTAGATGGCCTTTAAGATCCCTTCCAACTTAAAATGTATGATTCTATGATCCTTTGAGATAAGACCAAATCTTTCTTTTAGTCCTCCTAAGCTGTCCTGGGCAAGAAAAATGAAATACTGTGACTTTTATTATCACTGTTATTATCCACTCAGAATTTTATTTGAGGTATTTTTAAAAAATTGTTTAGAGGGTTTGGTTGGGAGAGCTCAGCAGAAATGCTCAATTCCCTCTGTAGCCAAAATTAGAAGGAAAGCAGGAAACTGGGGGAAAATTTTTATAGCAAGCTTCTTTAATAAAGGTCTCATTTTTCAAATACGTAGGGAAATGAGCCTGTATTTATAAATAATAAGCCATTCCCCAATGGATAAGTGGTCAAAGAATAGGAATAGGCAATTTTAAGAAGAAGAAATCAGAACTATCAATAATTATATGAAAAAAATGCTCTAAGACACTAATAATTAGAGAAATGCACATTAAAACAAGTCTGAGATAACCATCTCACACTTACCTGATTGACAAACATGACCAAAACGAAAAAATGACAAATGCTATAGGAGATATGGAAAAATAGGAACACTATCACACTGTTGGTGGAGCTGTTGGACTGGTCCACCCATATTGAAAAATAATTTGAAACTCTGCCTAAAGGGGTATAAAACGTATACCCTTTGACCCAGAAATACAACTATTAGGTTATATCCCAAAGCGATCAAAGTAAAACAGAAAGGAACCATATGTGAAAAAATATTTATAGCAGCTTGTTTTATGATGGCAAAGAGTTGTAAACTGAGAGGATGCCCGTTAATTGGGGAATGGCTGAACGAGTTGTGGTATATAATTGTATACTATTGTGCTCTAAGAAATGACAAAGTAGATGGTTTCAGAAAAACCTGGAAAGACTTTTATGAACTGATACAAAGTAAAGTGAGTAGAATCAGGAGAACTTTGTACACAGTAACGTAGTATTGTAATGACAGTTAATTGTAAAAGACTTGACTACTCTGATCAGTACATTAATCCATGATGATTTGAAAGGACTCATGATGAAAAATGCTCTCCATCTCTAGAGCGAGAACTGATGAACACTGAAAGCATAGTTTCTTTCACTTTGTTTTTCTTTTTTTTTTTCCACAACAAGGCTAATGCAGAAATATGTTTTGCATGATTTTATATGTATAATGGGTTTGTACTTCTTGGCTTTTCAGTGGGTTCAGGAAGGAAAGAAAAATGAAAGATATGCCTACCTCCCCAGAGAAAATGTCTGCCCTGGAAACCAGCCACATAGTAACAGTAATAACATCATCAATAACTATAATAAAAGCTAGAATTTATGCTTTAAATTTGCAAGACCTTTTACATAGGTTATTTCATTTGATCCTCACAGTAGTCCTGGGAAGTAACTAGACAATGGATAGAGCACTGGGCCCATAGTCAGGAAGACTCTCATCTTTCTGAGTTCAAATCAGGCCTTAGATATTTAATAGCTGTGTGACCCTGGGCAAGTCAGTTAACCCTATTTGCTTCAGTTTCCTCATCTGTAAAATGAGAAGGAAATGGTAAACCACTTCAGTATCTTTTCCAGGAAAACCCCAAATGGAGTCACAAAGAGTCAGATACAACTGAAAGAACTGAACAACAACATATGTCCAGTTCTCTCAGTTTAAATGGCTCCAGGGTTTGGGGGGAAAGATAATGAGTTTAGTTTTGGCCATAATGAGATTAGGATGCCTCTAAGACATCCAGTTGGAGATACAAGATGAAAAGGTCATCAGACAGTTGAGGGCGGAATAAATAGATTTGAGAATTATCAGCATAAAAGTAATAACTAAATCCAAAAAACTCTGTAGCATCTTTCCCCTTCTCTCAGTTTAAATAAAAACCACTGTCCTGGTTCAGTCTCTCATTACCTATCCTAGACCTTAGACTACTGAGAGAGCCTTCTAATTGGTCTCCCTGCCTCAAGTCTCTCCGCACTCCCAGTCTATTCTTCACATAGCTGCCAGTGAATTTCCTAAAGGTAGGTCTAACCATGTTACCTCTTTATTCAGTAAATTCCACTAGCTCCGAATTACTTTCAGGTTCATATATAAAGTTCTTATAATAAGGATCTTGAACTTTTCCTTAACACAAAAATTCACATTTTTTTAAACAACTGTTTTATCCCATGAATTCCATAAGGTTTTAAATTTTATGGAACCACCACTATCTTCAGAGAATCAAAATTGTGAATGACTCATAAGACAACAAAGATTTATATCATGGATGGCTAAGGCTAAAGGCTAAGGCTATCCATCCATGGCATGGATAAGGCTAAAATATCAATGCTGAATGCACATAAAAAGTGATATGAGGAATAATTTTCAGGAAACATGAATCGAAAAGAATGTCATAGTTAATTAACGAGGCATAATGGATAGAAAGCTCAAATGATGCACAGGCATTTCTTGAAAGTAATAACAGTTGGTGTTTCTATGGCTGCTTTGAAGCTTGCAAAGTACTTTTCATATATTCTCATTTGTTTCTCCCAATAACTCTGTGAGGAGAGTACTACAGATGTTCTTAGACCTATCTTGATGACAAAATCAAGGTTCAGAGGTTTATCCAGAAGTGTGTAGACAGTGAGTATCTGGAAGGGTATTTGAACCCAGCCCTCTTTGACACAAAGTTCAGTAGTCTTTTGCTATAGCAAGTGGCCTCTCAATTAGAAAGATCCAGAACTAAGCCTCTAGCACCATAGATATACAGCTATAGCTTTATGGGAGGATCTGGGTAAAAATCACACAAAATAATAAGAAATCTGCACCAGTGGACTCAGTGTTCAGATTGATGAGATTGATTCCATTGAAGTATGTATTAATTTACCACTATCTTATAGATAAGGATTTGTGTCTGATAACAGGTTCTGAACTATGAAGTAAATGTAAACATTACAATAACAGGAGAAAGACTCTGCTATAGACTACTTCAAGATACGTATTTATAAAACTTCACATATATTTCATTTGCTCTATTTTATTTAATTCTGTTCAACCAGTCAGAAAATGATATTCCTTTATAGGCATTGTCCCTTAGGAATTTGTATTTCTGAAAGGATTCATCACGTACAGGTAGCTGGTGGCACAGTGGATAGAACACTGGGCTTGAAGTCAGGAAGAGACTTGAGTTCAAACTTGACTTTAGATACTTACTAGTTGTGTGCCCCTGGGCAAGTCACTTAATTAATTTCCCTTTTGCTATTGAGTGGACCACCATCCTCCTAGTCACTCAGGTTTACAAACTAGATGACATTTCTTGATTCCTCACTCTTCTGTCACTCCCCAAATCCAATCTATTATCAACTCCTGTTGATTTTACCTCTATAATACCTCTTATGTCCCCTTCTCTGGCCTCTTCACCTCAGAGCTATGCAATTACAATAGCCTGTTTGTCTCCCTGTCATAAGTCTCTTCCCATTCCAGTCCATCCTCCGTTCAGCTGTGAAATTGATCTTCCTAAAGTTCCAGTCTGACCATGTCATTCTCCCACTCAGTCAGTTCCAGTGGCTCCCTATTATCTCCAGGATGAAATATAAAAACCTCTCTTTGGTAGTCAAAGCCCTTCGTAATCATTTTAGTCTTATACCTTCTTTCCCTCCCCAACATACTTTACCAGTGACACTGGTCTCTTTGCTGTTCTTCCATCAGGATGCTCTTTTGAAATGTTCTCTTTCCTCATCTCTATCACCCCTCTTCCCAGCTAAAATCCTACCTTCTATAGGAAGCCTTTCCTGATACTCCTTAATTCTAGCCATTTCCCTCAGTTGATTATTTTCAACTTAGCCTGTACATAGCTTTTTTGTACATTGTTGTTTTATGTATTGTCTCCCCCATTAGACTTTGAGTTCCATGGGAGCAAGGACTATCCTTTGCCTTTATTTTTATTTCCAGTACTTTGCACAGTGCTTGGCACAGATTAGGTACTTAATAATGCTAGGTCCTCTTGGCTTCCAGGCGAACTCTGTCTTGCTACAGCCTCCTACCTTTCTACATGGAGAAAATGTAATTTAAATCAGTAATTCTACTGAGCACCCGTAATGAGGAAACAATTGAGGCTGTGGAATTTCAGTTTCTAGAGATCCTCCACAAGAAAACAGACCTCTATCCATTTCTTATGGTTTAAAAAGTCTCTTGCCTATCTTCTTCAATTCTCTGTCTCCTATCTTTATTTTGGTATAGTATTTAGAATATTACATTATCAGGTAATTAAAGACTGTGTCACCTGCTAAGAGTTTTTTTTTTTTAATTTTTATCATGAACTTGTCAACAGATATTCTAATTTACAAAGAACAAAAAAGGATTTTATATGAAACCATCAATTTCTGTTTGTTTTTTAAGATATTTATTAAATTTAATATAGTGACAGAATTGCCCTTTTTGTTTGCATCCTTGTCCTCCTTTAATTTAAAAAAATTTCTATATATTTCTTTGTTTTAGTGACTACTAATTGTTTATAGATATGCTATATTTTATCAGATGGCCTTTCTTTCCGCTATGAAAATGGGAAGCTTTACAATTTTAAACTACAAAGCTAATGATATTTGTGTAAAAGATCTTTTATATATGTAAATAAAAATGGTTTTATTGATGCCATTTATTTTTCAATTCTTTTTTTTATTTTTCAGAAATTGTATGAATTAAATAACCTCCATGCACTTATGGCAGTGGTGTCTGGTTTACAAAGTGCCCCCATCTTCAGACTAACTAAAACATGGGCAGTGAGTATTTTTTAAAACTATACTTCATTATTTCAGTGATCTGTGATTTAATCAGTGTGCTTGTTACCTCCACTGATCAGTTCTTGCCTTAAAAGATGGTCTTTGAGAGGTTTGTTTGCCCTAAAATTTCATTACTCTGTGTCCCAACTGGTGATTAAAGTCTAGTCTTCAGCTACATAAGCCCTTGGAAATAAATATGTGAATGGCTTCTACCTGAAACTCTTCTCACTTGATGGGACTTTCCAGAGCTTGTGCTCTAATAAACTTGGAGAACCAAGGTCTGCCCTGATCAGGCCTTGGGGTACCAGTCTTCTTATACTTGATGCCCCTCCAAGCATTCTGTGTTCTAGCTACGTTGGTTTCTTTGCTGTTCCTTGAGCTCAGCAGTCCATCTCTTGTCCCCGTGTCTTTAGCTCTTCCTCATACCTGGAAAGCTCTCTCCTCACCTTTGCTTCTTAGAATTGCTGGCTTCCTTTCAAATTCACTCAGATGCTACCTTCTGCAGGAAGCCTTTCTTGGAGCCTATAGCTTTCAGAGCCTTTGCCCTCAAAGGCTACTTTCCATCTGCTATGTATGTGTCTTCGGTCCATTTATTCACTTGTTTCCCCCATTGGAGTGTAAGCTTCCTAAACACTATATAAATGCTAAAAGTAGTAACTGTTTCTACCTTTTTGTATATCTCCAATGCTTCGCACAGTGCCTGCTGCCTACTAAACACTTAATAAAAACTTGTTCATTGAAGCACACTGCTGGTTTTACAATTTGCAGAGACTTGGGTTCAGATCAGTCTTCTCTAATGCTCACTTAAAGTGTGCCCATGACCATGCAGTCAATCAGAATGTATTTATGCATTTATGCATTTATGTATTTATGGCCTTCTGTGTGCCAGTTACTAGCTACCATGTATACAAATACTATGAATAAAACAATCCCTAGTTTCTAGCCACTTACCTTTCAGAGGCCTTGGTTTACTTATCTACCTCACTGGTCTGTTGTGAAGATGGTGTGAGTTAATGTATTCAAAGTGCTTTGTATACTTTATAGTATCTATAAATGTATTTTTGTGTCAGGAGTAATTTATTAACTTGTAGAAAAGGAAGTTTAAAGTAGCTTTGTAGTTACACAAAATATTTGGGTTTTCTTTAAACCTAAATCTTCTTCTTAAGGAATTTTCCTAATTGTGTAGGTTAAGCAGGGACCTTTGAAATTATTTCTTCAAATCTAATCTTACATCTGGAGAAATTGAAACCCAGAGATTATATCATGACCATAGCCACATTTGTAGTAGAACTAGGATAAGAACCCAAGTTTGTTAACTTTAGTTTGTTAGTGATGTGTTGATTACTTCTGGAAAAATGGTTCCCAGGAGAATTTTGTTACATGTACATGACTGTTGTTTAAAAATATAATGTTTCAAATTAATCAGAGAATTATCAATCCCTCTCCCCACCCATTTTCTTTCAGTTGTGCAAGTTTTTAAGGTATTACTTTTGGAAAAGTAGAGGAAAATTCGAAGAGGATAAAGTGCTTCTGATTAAAATGTCCTCTTTTTCTGTAGGCAGTTCTTTATTCGTAACTCAGATTTTATTTTCACTAGTAAAACCATGTCACCAACATAGATATAAATACCAATGTAAATCAGCTACTCATAATTTTTTGTTTAAAGATTCACATATGAAATACTAAGAATTCAATAGGAAGTGACTTCCCTATGGTCACACAGAATCTGTGTATCAGAAACAGTATTGAACTCAGGTCCTTCTGAGTATGAGGCTAAAGCACTGTCCAGTCATACACTACTTCCTAGTAAAATTTTATATGGCCATATAATCCTAGAATATTGGCTTTGGAAGTGACTTTTAAATTATCTAGTTCAGTTCCTTCGTTTTACTGATGAGGAAATTGAGGGTCAGAGATTTTCAAGGTCTGGTCCAAGCCATATTGGAGACCCAGAAGGCAAACTTACATCTGCCTGTAGAATATAGAGTACTCTCTCCAGGACACCACTGCATGTTCTGATTTCTAATGAGCAAAATAAAATAAAAATGCTAGAGGATTGGATTTTATATTTTCTACATTCATTTTACTGAATTTCATGTAATGCAGAATTGCCTCCTATTTCAAATAATTTCAACTCGGCAAATGTTAAATGTCCACTATGTGTGAGACAGTATTTTCCAAATTTTTTTGAGTAATTTACCTCTTATGTTTTATGAAATTAGATTTCCTTATTATTAATTGATTTCTCGATGTTGTTCCTTAATTTTATGCTTGGAAAATACTGGAATTTGTTTAATCTAAAATAAGACCACATACTATACTGGATAGATTAATGGACCTAGAGTCAGAAGAACTAGGTTCAAATCTCACTTGAAACCTTTCTTCTGTAAAATGTGAGACCCTTTCCTCTTTTGTAAAATGAATGAGTTGGATTTAATGACCTCTAAGATTCCTTCCAAATCTGACCTTATGATATATTTATCACAGTGTTTTTGTTGTGCCAATACCAAAGTGTGCAGCAATGCATTAAACTTAACAAAGACATTTCTCAAATTATTTTAATCAGATATTGTCCAGGTCCTATATGTGTTTCAATTAGCAGAAAAACATTGGTGGTCCAGCCTTCCACCTTTCAGGTCCCTTCAGCTGGAAAATTCCCATCACTGCTGCACTCCTTGTTCTTCAAAGCTATTCTAAGCAATGTGGGATAACAACTCTTTCAAGTTATTTTTTTTGGAAAAAAGCAGAGGTAGGGTTATATTATTTTGGACATATCTTTTAGTTGAAAATATGATTGATTGATTTTTCTCTTTTTATTATGTGTCGGTAGGGGCATTTAGCTTCAACTCATAATGTAGTTATTTATTTTGTGCTTCCATATTTTTTCTTTTAAACTTAAATACAAAATAAGAAAAGAAAAAAAAAACATTGCCATGTACACTGCAGTAATAAGAAAGCATTGAATATAAAACAATAAATTCCCATTTCAAGAAAACCTATATAATAAATGCTACACATTGTTTTCAAAGCTGCCCAGCTTTTCTTTGCTTCCTCATTGGTTTTCTGTTGTGTACTTTTTACTCTTTTTTCCCTTCCCTCCTCCCCCTCCCTAAAGAAGGCAACAATTAAGCACAGAGATTGTGTGTGTGTGTGTGTATGCATATGCATAGATATCTATAAACATACACCTATACACTCATACACACATATGTAAGGCTGTACTATGCTTATTTCCACCTGTCATCTGTTTCTCTAAAGGTGAATCGCATCTTCCTTCATAAGTCCAAGTCTTTATGTGTTTTTCTGAATCGACCAGCTCATCATTTCCTACACCACAGCAATGTTCCAATGCAATCACATCCTATCTGAGAGATTGTCTGTGAAAGTTTTCCCCCAGTTTTCTGCACTCCCTCTATTCTTGCCTATATAGGTTTTATTTATATAAGAAAATTTTAATTTAAAATATTCACAATTAGCCTCTTTACACTTCAGTAATGTTCTCCCTTATAATATAGTTTTAAGGTCTGATACTGCTGAATCTATTCCCTTTACATCTTTTTTCCTGCTTCTTTGAAGTTCTTGACCTTTTGTTCTTTCAAATGAACTTTGTTATTATTTTTTCTAACTCAGTAAAATAAATTTTAGTAATTTAATTGGGATGACATTGAATAAATAGATTAATTAGGTAAAATTGTCATTTAAAAAGTTATGTTGATTTTATCTACCCATGAACAGTAAATACTACTTCAGTTATTTAGATCTGAGTTTATTTGTATAAAAAGTGTTTTATGTTTGTGGTTCATTTCCTGTGTCTGTTTTGAGAGGTATGCTACTAAGTATTTTAAATGGTCTAAAACAATATTAAATAATATTGCTGACATAGTGTAGTTTCTCTTTTTCACTTTTTATTAAATCTATTTTAACTTTGTATGAGATCATGATTACTACCCCTGCTTTTTTTACATAATAAATTATACTCCTGCCCTTTATTTTATCTTTATGTGATAGTATCTCTCATTTTTATAATGTTTCCTGATAGCAACATATTGTTGAATTCAAATGTTTAATCTTTCCATTTCCATTTTATGGGTAAATCCATCCCATTTACATTCTAAGCTACAATTACTTGCTGTATGTTTTCCTCCCTGTTTTTTCTCACTATCCTCACCCTATTTACCCTATCTTTCCTTACTCCTCTGCTTTACTTCTATCCACTACCTTGTCCTCCTCTTCCTTAACCTACCCACTTCTCTAAAAGTCCCTCCCTCATCCTCTCCCCCAACCCTTTCCCCTTGCCCTCTTATTTCTTTCTGAATTTAGAAAATTTTTATGCCCTTCTAGGTTTGTACATTATTCTCTCTTTAACCCGTACCTGATGAGAGTAAGGCTCCAGCACCACCTGCCCTCTTCACTACTGCCTTCTGTATCAGTTCTTCCTCTCATGCCTCATTTGTATGAGATAATTACTCCTTTTTGTCTCTCCCTACACGGTTTTTTAGAATCACCTCATCATACTCAGCTCACCCCATGCCTTTCTTTCAAACTGCCCAAATAATGATGACAATCATAAGATTACTGCTAATATTTTCACATATACAAAGTAAACAATTTGACCTTATTGAGTCCCTTATTACTGGTCTTTAATGTTTACCTTATATTTCTCCTGGATGTTAGATGTCAAATTTTCCTTAAATTCTGGGGATTTTGTCACAAAAACCTGAAAATCTTTGAATTGATTAAGTGTCCATTTTTTTTTTCATTCAGGATTGTACTTTGCTGGGTAAGTTACCCTTGGTTGTAACCCCAGCTCTTTTGCTCTATGAATACAGTATTCCAAGACCCACAGTACTTCAACGTAGTAGCTGCTAGGTTTTGTGTAATCCCTATTGTAGCTCCGTGATATTTAAATTGTTGTGTTGTTTTTTTTTTGCTTCCAATAGTTTTTCCTTAACTTTGGAGCTTTGAAACTTGGCTATGATAGTCCTATTAAGTTTTCCTCCTTGGAGCTCTTTCAGGTGGTCATCAGTAGATTTTTTTTTTCTATTTCTGCTTTGCTTTCTTATTAGAACTTCTGGGCAACTTTCCTTGATATTTTCTTGTAATATTATATAAAGATTATTTTTTATCATAATTTTTTGGTAGTCCAACTGTTCTTATATTATTTCTCCTTGATCTGTTCTCCAGATTAGTTGTTTTCCTCATGAGATGTTTCATGTTCTTTTCTGTTTTTTATTCTTTTAATTTTGTTTTATGCTTTCTTGGTGCCTTAGTTATATCATTAGCTTCCTCTTGCCTGATTCTAGTTTTCAAGGATTTATTTTCTTCCTTAAGTTTTTGATTCTCTATTTCAAGTTGATTGATTTTCTTTTCATAATTTTCTTGAGCTTCTTGAATTGCTCTTATTTTTTTTATTTTTTATTTTTGTAATTTTTCCTCATTCTTTCTTACTTGATTTTTAAAGTCCTTATCTGAGAGCTTTATTTTGTGCTTGGGACCATTTGACATTTCTCATTGAAAAAAGAGAATGGTTTTTTTAGCTCCATTCTCTTTCTCTGAATATGAACCCAGATCTTCTCTATCCCCATAGTAACTATCTATGGTTGGATTCTTTCTCCTTTGCTTATTAATTTTATTTATTTATTTACTGCTTTATTTTATTTGTGGTATCTATTTATATAATCAAGTTGTAGTGCCAGGGTATGGGGAATGATACCCCAAGTCTGAGTTCCTTCTTACTACTATTTTCTGAGGTCTATCTTGGCTCTCTTCTGTACTCCTAAGCCATGGCTTGGGCCCCCTGAGCCACACTGTTCCAAAAATGATCTTGCTTTCTGTGGTCTCTCTGGTGGCTCCAAACTACAACTGTCCTCTCTGCCCTGAAACAGAAACCAGGAACCCTGCTCTCCTACAAGTGCCCACAACCAGCAGAGTTCTACCCCTTGCTACCACGCTCACCAAGTGTATGCTAGCTCCTTCTCCCCACAGCCACAGCCCAGAATGTGTCTGGTCAGCACAACTGTGCTTGACATCCCTCAACAGTGGAAGGTCCTTCAGTCTTCTCCTAACCCAGCTGGCAGACCCCCCACACTGTCTATGAGATAAAAGTTTCTAAGGCTGAGGCTACCTCTCAACCCACCTGCCCCCAGGGTTTGTTTGTTGTTTCTAAAAAGTTGGCCTGAAGGTATTCGCTCTTCACTCAGGCCTGAAGTTGAGTCTTTCCTGGGGTCAACTCAGATTGTTTTAAGAGGACAACTGCTTTGCCCTGTGTGGTGATAATTGTCTTTTTTGTGTGGAAGAAATTTGGAGAGCCAAAAGTTTTCTAACCTACTCCACCATCTTCCCAGAATCCTCTCTTCAACTCATAATGTAAAGAAGCAGCTGGTGGCCCAGTGAATAGAGCACTGGGCCTGCAGTTAAGAAGACCTGAGTTCAAATCCAGCCTAATTTACTTATTAGCTCTGTGACCCAGGGCAAGTCACTTAGCTTCTGCCTGACAAAAGGATCCACTGGAGATGGAAATGGCAAACCACTCCAGTATCTTTGTCAAGAAAACTCCATGGACAGTTGGTCCACGGGGTCATGAAATGTCTGAACAACAACATAATGTAAAGTTCTCTAGAATGGTAATTCTTAAGGTGTGATCCATTTCCAAGGGACTCTGGGGGTTCCCAAGACCCTTTCAGGGGATCTACCAGGTCAAAGTTATTTTTATAAAGCATTAAAATATTTTTATTTCTGTAACCCACATATACAAAAGCTACTTGGAGGGATCTTCAGTGATTTTTAAGAGTGTAAAGGAATTCTGACACCAAGAATTTTGAGAATTGCAGCTGTAGACTCTTGTTTTAAACCTTGAGCTTTTTTGATTTAATATGCCTGTGTTTCCTAGCAGTGGTTTATGAAAGTAAGATATCCCTAAACTTGTTATCCGATTGTGAAGATGAACATATTAGTAAATAAATCTGTCAGGAAAAGCCAGGGTTATTTACATCTCAAAGGATGACAGTCATATAATTTTGCTTTTCTTCTTGGCCAATTTCTGAAAAATTTATAAAAACTGAATGTTTGATGCAAATACTCTGATACCTTAAAAGAATATGACAAGAAAAAAATATAACCTTTGTGTCAAAGATGAGAAAGTATGCAATATAGTGAGAATTACAGTTTTGGAACTGAAAATTATTATGTATTCAATATAATTCACACTTAAGTGAAAGCATCAATAAATGTAAAATTAGTATATAATTAATACCTTATGGTTTTCTCTGTTTTAGTTATTGAGTCGAAAAGATAAAACTACTTTTGAAAAATTGGAATATGTTATGAGTAAAGAAGATAATTACAAAAGACTTAGAGACTATATTAGTAGCTTGAAGATGACACCTTGCATTCCGTATTTAGGTAAGATATATTATTTTATTCATATGCTTGCCCTTTAGTTATGTTCTGACTTGTTCAGTATATTAAAATACTAAAATCAAAAATAAGGAAACTGATTACAAGAATTATTGGCTAAAAATTGTTCTTTGGTGAGTATATATTCTCTGTCCAAACTATCTATGTGTTTGTGCATTTATATTTATTTACTTCTTTCATAGTAAAAAGTTTCTGAAATTTTTTGTGTGGAGTATCCGTTTTCATAGTACTATTTTACATAATGATCTTTGTATTAAGTTTGTGTCTTATGAAGCTTGTAAGCTTGTGAAAATCTTAGGATTTAAATAATACTCTTCAAGAATTAAACATCACTTTTTAACTTAATCTAAGTGAAAGCATACTTTACCACTACAATGCTAAGGCAGAACGCTGTGTCATACTATTTTAATGACATTTCAGAAATTGCTTAATTGTACAGTGTTGTGTTGCATGGCATATTTGTGTGTTTGTGTATATAATTAGATCATCAACAATTGTTCACAATTTTTGTTTTGAGTTATTTAGCTGCTGTTATTGCTGTTGCTACTTGGAAATAGGAAGCTCTTAATCCTCGTTCAAAGAATACTATATTGTGTATAATTTGACCAAAAACTTAATGTTTACTTTTTTAAATATTTCTTACCAGCGAATTCCCAGTTCTATATCTCCACCTGTAATGTCATAAAGTATATGTATTTGTTTTCAATAAATCTAATGATATGTATGCTATATACCCTCCATTGAAGTAAGGATGTTTTAAATAGTTATTGTATTTAAATTTGTATACAAACTAAAATTTTCTTACAAAATGAAGCACCAGGTGATGCATGTGTTTAACTTGGAGTCAGAAAAACCAGAATTAAACGTGTCTCAGACACTTGCTGGCTGTATAACCTTGGGCAGCTCACTACAACTCAATCTCAGTTTGCTCATCCATAAAATGGAGACAATAATAGTATCTCTTTCACAAGGTTGTTGTGAGAATTAAATGACACAATATATGTAAAGCTCTTGGAAAACCTTGAAGTACCTTAAAAATGTTGGCTCTAAAATTTGTGATATATTGGTAAATATCATTTAATTTCTCATATATAGTGAATAATATAAAGAAATACCTTCAGTTCCCTTCCTTCTATGTACTGTCTTCTTTTAGGAAATGAAGGTCCCATCTTTCAGATAAGTAACACTGTAACAAACATGGTGCTGGTTTTTAGTGCCTGTTCTGACAGAAGATATGTAAACAGTTAACTCTTTTTAACTAGGCCTTTGTATTCATGAATCTTGACCTTTCCAAGTGATTAGATGGCCATGTAGGAACTGAATAATACAGTCTGATAGAAAGAGCATTAGACAGTGTACAAATTCCCAGCTCTGAGATTTTCTAGTGGTATGACAATGGTAAGTTTACATAATTTCTCTGTGCCTTAATTTCTTCTACATCTGCCACTTTGTTCATAAGTTGGAAGAAGAGTGATCTGTTAAACTTTAGGTGCTATTTAAATAAGAACTTTAGTAGTATTCTTGTAAGTAGTAACGAAGATGTATACCTTTAGTTCCCTACCATCTGCAGAATGTCCTGTCAGCCTTAGAGATAGTGAAGAACTTTTTGGCAGTTAAGCATTCTGTCCAGTCTTCAGGACTTCTGTTAAGTGGAGGGAGTTCTTATACTGCCCCAAAAGGGAAGGCAGCAGAGTATTTCTCCCAGCATCATGTAGATTTTATAGGTCCCACATAGCTCCAGAGGTAGAATGTGCTCTATTTATTATTGTTTAGTTCCACCCATATACTATCATGTTTTCTTCAGGCATTTTGTTATTGGGGAATGTGAGAAGAGAAAGGACCAGAGGGATGCACCTAAATCAGAATTGTACTAGGAATAAGCTAGAACCAAAAATTTGAGGAAGACAACTTGTTTGACCTCAGAAACTGGGAACTTTGATAGACTTATACCTTCTATTTTATCATGTGATATAATACTATGTCCAGAGTTGTAAAAATGCTTTGTTGGTAGGTTATATCTGGGATGGTCCCTAAAACTCATTCCCCACAATTCCATAAAATTGAAAACCTGGTGTTGAAAAAAGATAACTAGATAGGAAGTTGGGAAGCATGGGTTCTAATACTGGTTCTGTCCCTGGGTAATTTTTTTTTTCTTTTTTGGCTAGGCAATGGGGTTAAGTGACTTGCCCAGGATCACACAGCTAATAAGTGTTATGTGTCTGAGGCCAGATTTGAACTCAGATTCTCCTGAGTCCAAGGCCGGTGGTCTATCTACTGCGCCACCTAGCTGCTCCCCTCCCGGGTAATTTTTTCAATTTATTTTGTACCCCATTTCTTAATCTATAAAATGAGTATTGAATTAGATGAAATTGGAAATGTCTTCCAATTTGAATATTCTGTTAGATGAGAATTTGTTTTCCATAAAATCAGTGTTCTACTGTTTAAAATGGAATGCTGGATTTTTCACTTTACAAAGCAAAAAAGTTGGAATCTTAGTCCACTGAAAATGAAAAAAACTGAATATTTTGAACACTTGTGCTTGCTAGTGCTAGGTACTAATGCTGGTTTTGCTTTTATGTTAAAGAGGAAAAAAATCCTTCCCTTTGCGCATTCTTCCCCCCCAAAAATCAGAAACTGTCAGAAATATGATATACTTAGAGAATCAAGTAAAAAACTACTGAAATAATAAACAACTTTAGTAAAGTTGCAGGCTATAAAATAAATCCATATAAATCAGCGGCATTTCTATGTATTACTAACAAAGCCCAACAACAAGAGCTGGAAAGAGAAATTCCATTTAAAGTTACTGTAGACATTATGAAATATTTAGAAGTCTCCCTACTGAAACAAACCCAGGAGCTGTATGAATACAATTATAAAACACTTTTCACACAAATAAAGTCAGATCTAAATAAACTGGAAAAACATCAGTTGCTCATGGGTAGGCTGAGCCAATATAATAAAAATGACAATTCTACCTAAATTAATTTACTTACTCAGTGCCATACCAATCAAACTACCAAAAAAAATTACTTTATAGAGCTAGAAAAAATAGGAACAAGATTCATCTGGAAGAACAAAAGGTCCAGAATATCAAGGGAACTAATGAAAAGAAATGCTAGGGAGGGTGGCCTAGCCATACTAGATCTTAAATTGTATCATAAAGCCACAATCATCAAAACTACTTGGTACTGGCTAAGAAATGGAATGGTGGATCAATGGAATAGGTACATAAGACACAGTAGTCAATGACTATAGTAATCTACTGTTAGATAAACTCAAAGACCCCAGCTTCTGGGATAAGTTTTCTGACAAAAACTGCTAGGAAAACTGGAAAAGAGTATGGCAGAAGCTAGGCATGACCAACATCTACATTGTATACCAAAATAAAGTCAAAATGAGTATACGATTTAGATATAAAAACTGATGTTATTAACAAACTGGGATAGCACGGAATAGTTTGCCTGTCATATTTGTGGAGAACAGAAGAATTTACGGCTGAACAAGAGATAGAGAACATTGTGAAATGCAAAATGGATAATTTTGATTACATTAAATTGAAAAGTTTTTGCACAAAGCCAATGCAACCAAGATTAGGAGGGAAGCAGAAAACTGGGAAAGAGTTTTTACTACCAGAGTCTCTGATAAGGGCCTCATTTCTAAAATATGTACAGAACTACGTCAAATTTATAAGAATACAAGTCATTTCCCAATTGATAAATGGTCAAAGGATATGAACAGGCAGTTTTCAGATGAAGAAATTAAAGCTATCTTTAGTCATATGAAAAAAAAATGCTCTAAATCACTATTGATTAGAGAAATGCAAATCAAAGCAACTCTGAGGTACCACATCACACCTATTATATTGGCCAGCAACTTTAAATGGAATTTCTCTTTCTACATCTTGCTGTTGGGCTTTGTGGGTAATATATAGAAGTGTCAATGATTTATGTGGGTTTATTTTATGTCCTGCAGCTTTGCTGAAGTTGTTTATTATTTCAAGTAGTTTTTTACTTAATTCTCTAGGATTCTCTAAGCATATCATCATATCATCTGCAAAGAATGATAGCTTTGTTTCTTCTTTGCCTTTCTAATACCTTCAATATCTTTTTCTTCTCTTATTACTAAAGCTAAAGTTTCTGGTACCATATTGAATAACAGTGGTGATAAGACATCCTTGTTTTACCCCTAATCTTATTGGAAATGCTTCTAGCTTATCCCCATTACATATAATGCTTGCTGAAGGTTTTAGGTAGATGCTCCTTATCATTCTAAGGAAGACTCCATTTATTCCTATCCTCTCGAGTGTTTTTAATAGGAATGGTTGTCGTATTTTGTCAAAAGCTTTTTCTGCATCTATTGATAATCATGTGATTTCTGTTAATTTTGTTGTTGATATGATCAATTGTGCTGATAATTTTCCTAATACTGAACCAGCCCTGCATTCTTGGTGTAAATCCTATCTGGTCATAGTGTATTATTCTTGTGATAAATTGCAGTAATCTTTGTGCTAATATTTAAATTTTTTGCTTATATATTCTTTAGGAAAATTGGTCTACAGTTTTCTTTCTCTGTTTTGACTCTTCCCAGTTTAGGTATCAGCACCATATTTGTATCATAAAAAGAATCTGGTAGAACTTCTGTATAGTATTGGAATTAATTGTTCTTTAAATGTTTGATAGAATTCACTTGTAAATTCATCTGGCCCTGGAGATTTTTTCCCAGGGAGTTCATTGATGGCTTGTTCAGTGTCTTTTTCGGAGATGGTGTTATTTAAGTATTTTACTTCCTCTTCTGTTAATCTTCTGTATAATCTTCTGTTATATTTTGTATTTATTCATTTTCCTAAGATTGTCAAATTTATTGGCATACAGTTGGCATATAGTTCTGAATTATTGTTTTAATTTCCTCTTCCTTGGTGGTGAATTCACCTGTTTCGTTTTTGATACTGGTAATTTGGTTTTCTTATTTCTTTTTTTAAATCA